ATATATTATATATTTGTACTTCAACACCCTAGGAGCAGTTCAGGTGGCTGGCCACTCCATTATTTCCACATGTCGTGCGTTAATTGCCGCACATGTTGGTTAGTCCGCCGGTGTGGTCAAGGGGGCAAAGGATATACATAGGAGTCCTGGGAGGGGCAGCACTCTAGGCACTGCGTGTGATTTATGGTGTGCAAAACGGGGTGACATTGTGACAAGTGCCATAAGCCGACTTCAGCAGAGTTTTTTCCTTTCGTGGGTAAAGGAAGTCACTTTGCAAAACGGTGATTTTAATGGCCAAAACTGAGAGGACTAGGTCGTTTGTCATAAATTTAGATGCACCTTTTAGGGTAATCTTAAAGTAAAAAAAACAGTGAAATGTTAATTTTAGATTGTGGAATTGGTAAAGAAATAATGAGATCTGCCTTTTTAATTTTATTTTAAATTTTATTTTTTTGTAGAATATTTTTAAGGCCTAACTTGAGCCCATAATCCCCTTTTGAAAACCACTTTTCTCCTCAAAATAAATTATTTAAAATGCATATGTCTAGGGATGTTATCGAATAACCATTGTTTGCCTTGTCCATTTGTAATTATCCCAAAGGAAACGACCTTCTGCCCCATCATAACTCAGGGGAAACCCCCATTTTGACCGAGATAGCCAGCCCAACCCCATGTCCAATAATAATTATAATTTATGCGCCAGCACAGAAATAAACCCAGAGACGCAGGCAAACTTTTTAGCTGTAAGTGCGATTTGTGGATGCGAGAGTGTGCCTCAGTCTTGATTCAAAGGACCAAATTACAGGATCTGTCTACTTGTTTCCTTTTGCTGGACATCATGACACCAACGCTGGAGTTAGACAAGCTGTCGCCTTTAAAGTGGCCATTGTTCGATTTGGGAAAACAGAACTTGGCGACAGAATTAATTAGACGAAATGGCCAGTTTTGGGAATTTGAAGGAACAGAACTATCAATTAATCAGGAGCCACCGAGAGGGAATGTCAAGTCCGGGACGTGCGGGGAATTTAAAGCTTACTGCAACTCTGTCAACGTCTGAGACTCACTTCAGACTGCTCCATATATCTTCCCCTATAGTCAGTCCATGTGTGTGGCTGAGTGTGTGTGGAAAAGAAAAATTGTCTGACACATTTCAATTGAATTTCCAAAAATTTCATTCGCCTTTTTCTGCGTTGCTTTGCCTTGCCATTTCGCTGTTCAAAAGTATTAAAACCCAAAGCCAATTTGTACAAACTATTTTTATAACAAAAACAACAAGATGATGAGCGTACTACAAGTTAAACAAATTTGCGTGATGATGTGTGAGAAATTGAATGAATATTTGATTTTACGTTCTCCTCTCACACGCAAAACGTGAAACATCAAACAAGAAGGATCATTTAAAAAAACATTCTCAAAAAAACAAAGATCTCAGGAATTCCGAAATGAATTTTGGGGAAATTTTGTATGTTACTCAGCAAAACGAATGTTGAGTTTCAGTTAATTACCAATAATGATTTATTTTGTTTTAATATTTCTAAATGGAATTTCAGACAACCATTCAGAGGTATTTACTTCCACCAATCAGCAGCAGATTAATATTACTAGAGGGTATAGAGTATTATATATGTACTATGTTCTGGTATTCATAAGTTCTTGAATACAAAAAGTAGTGAATTGATATAAAAATAGTTGCCAGATTTGTATAAATATTGTACAAAAAACAAGAGCCTTGGCTTAGTTTAAGTTATCGTTTTTGAAATGTGTTTTAGAAATTTAAATCCCTTTAAAAAGTCTAAGTTCGAAGTACCAAATTCAGTGTAAATTGTCTTTATTTCACCCTCTAAAAGGAATATTAAAAACACTGACTTGATTCTTAACAATCCAATTGCTAACTGCAAGGGTATCCAAAGTTCGGCGTGCCATGGTTAGCTTATTTTTAATACCAAACAAATATATATAAACTTTGGCTTGGCTTAAATAGCTTTCTCTACTAGCTCTTACTTAGTTTCCTTGACTTTCTTGCAGATTTTTCGCCACCTGGAACGTCCTGCCGAGGTGGAGCGCCTGTCCTATCTTAAGGATGTGGTCAAGACGCACAGAGAACGCTTCATGGACACCGTATTGAACAATACCGAAGTGCATAATCTAAGGGAGCTGTTATCCTTTGAGCTGGCCAAATACGAGGCGGTGTGTATTGTCTAAGACCCCTAGAGGCACCAATGTATTCCACCTGGGGTAACCTCAAGTCGTATTTGTAATCTCCACAGGCCGTTCAACAGGCGGCAGAAGGCGGCCTACTGATTGTGGTCGATAAAGACTTTCCGGAGCCCTATGAGCGCTGGAGCATCCTGCAAGCTGTGTTCTTCTCATCGACTGTGTTAACCACCATAGGTACATAATTGAAGCTTTTAATAACATTATATGGGTTAGTTGATTAGTTAATATATTAATTATTTCACAGGCTATGGCAATATTGTGCCAGTGACCACCGGTGGTCGCGTATTTTGCATTTGCTTTGCCCTCATTGGAATCCCTTTTACACTCACGGTGATTGCTGATTGGGGTCGTCTGTTTGCTACCGCTGTTTCGGTCTTTGGCAAACATATGCCCAGTAAGTAATTTAATTTTTAATTTTTTAAAAATAGAAAAAAGAAATAATTAACTATATAATAAGATGCATAACGGCCTATACAGCTTGAAAGAGTAATAAAGCATCTTAACTGTTTTTTATCCTAGGCTTTTCCTTGATTAATTGTTATATTTTTATTTAATCCATTTGAATTTTCGCAGCCAAACCCAAGTTCACCAACTTTATAGGAAAAACCTGGTTCTATGCCATTCTGGCTGTGGGCTTTTTGGGGGTTTATTTAGCCGCTGGAGCAGGTCTGCTTTTGCTCTGGGAAGATGATTGGACCTTCTTTGATGGCTTCTACTTTTGTTTTATCACAATGACAACTATAGGCTTTGGAGATCTGGTGCCAAGTAAGATCCGAAGCAATCCAAAAATCAAAATTTTTATATTCCTTTTCTTGATGACAGAGAAACCCAACTACATGTTGCTCTGCACTTTGTATATTCTTATTGGCCTGGCCCTGACCTCCACCATAATTGAGCTGGTGAGACGACAATATGCCACCAGTTGGGCCAAGCTGCAGGTGATTTAAAAGTTGAATACTATAATACAGTAATTGTAATTAAACTGAATGAATTTGTATTTTAATTTTCAGGAACTATCCGGACCCATGGCGGAGACCTTGCGACGTCTGGGCGAGACTGCTGGCACAGGTCTTGACTACACAGCCCTGCAGAAAGTGCTGACGGTAATACAACTAATTACTAGTAACTAATTAATTAATTAAAATAATAAATAACCCTTAGGTTTCCATGCCCAAGTGGAATAGCAACAAGAAAAGCGATCATAGTCCAGATATTGCGGCTTTGGAGGCCATCACAAATGCCATACTGAAGGAGGTCAAGGAGGCGCAGAACAACAAGCCCAAGGTCCTGCAGATTGTCATTTACGAGTCCTCCGTCTAGGATAATTGATCAAAGAAGTCTCGACAGAGAGAGAGAGAGAGAGAGAGAGAGAGAGCGAGAGAGCTTCCATAGGAAAAGTGCGGCAGAAATAATATCAAATGCAAAATCAAAATATATCAAACGTAGTTAGGCTTGAATCAAGTTGAGTTACGCGATCGTCATCCATTGGCACTGTACCACTGCCAGACTTCCCTAACAAACAGGGCCAGTGTCCGCTTATATATAGCTATTATATAGTCAAAATGTCTAGGCAATGATATTGCTCATACGTACTGAGGCCACACCACATACTCACACACACGCAGAAGGGACTGTAATGCCCATAGTCATAGGCATAATATTATATTATATAAAGTTTTTTTTTTCGAGGATTCTACCATAAGTTATTAGAAATATTGATTAAAACCCTTGTCCATACTATACGCGTAAATGTCATCTTATAAATAAATCATGAAAAAGACTTGAACAATGGCTGAATTTCTGTTGAAGAGGTAAATGGGGCTTAGTGAAAGTGGTCCTGGCATATATTCTAAACCTAAATCGAGAAAAGCTAAGCTAGCCAAGACAAAAAATCAGCTTTATCTATTCCTTTAACCTTTGCTGAAAAGCTTAGAAGCTTTCACTAAATTAAATGCTTGATTTTGAAGCTCGTGGCGACGAGCATAACTTTCAGATGTCGAGATTTGAGGGGTGCGTGCACGATCCGTTAGATGAGCTATTTACTAGGACACTGAAAACAAAAATTAGCTAAGCAATAGGGGTTTGAAAAAAACCCATAAAATGTCAAGTTATTGGTTTAACAAATACAAATTAACATATAAAAAATGTATTGCTTACTTTTAGCATTTTTTAAAGAGATTTTAAAGTAATCACAGAAAATATCTATATTCGATATGGTATCGATATTTGACTTAAATGTCCCAATACAAATCGATATTTAATCGTTTAGCAATATAAATACAAATATTTTACTACATAAATAAGACTAACATAATCGGATATTTTAATTTCTATCAATATTTTTAAGAATTTCGCGGTCAAGATGGCTTCGATTTCTAAAAATCAATCAATTTATTTATCGATAATATAAATATGATACTTTTCGATATTTAAACAAATCTAAATTAAAGTTCATGATCATTTCGAAGGCATATTGAGAGCAGTATCAAAAAATATACATAAAGACAGGGAATATTGCTAGATCTACTCGTCTGTGTCTTACTTATTGTCAAACTTATAATAGCCTTATAGCCCAGTCTTACCCTGTTTCCTGGTCTTACCAATAATATGTATATGTAAATGTAAATGAAATCGAATTAGTTCTTGATCCTCATACCACACTTTTTAGAAACGTATTCATGTCGTAAATTTCTCTCAGTGTACGCACATAGGCTGCACATTGTTGGCTATAAAAGACGTTCGCACTGTCGGCGGTCGCTAGTCTTTTTGCTGGAAAAGAGGCGCGAGGAGTGCGACGCGGATCCATCATTTGAGTTTTATTCTATATATCTGATTTATTTTATCCACCATCCCGTGCAACATCCACTATAGCCACTATAACCACCCGTGTGTAGTGTGTGTGTGTGTGTGTGTGTGGGCTTGGGCCTGGGCCTGGGTTGATAATACTTAGTAATTCTCGCTGCCCGACTCGCCAAGGGGCTGTCTCCGTTCAGTTGAGCGCTGGACGAGCAGCAAGTAACATCCGGTCCACCGATCCGATCCCGATCCCGGTCCGACACCGACTTGAACCGAGTGCAGCGCGCATGGATAGCTGATAGATCTCTTAAAAGATCCCTCGTGTACTTGGGTGTAGAGTGCGTGATCCGGTCGTTGTTGTTGTTGTTGTTGTTTTTTTTTCGTTTCGTTTTTTTTTGCTGGTGAACAAGCTGCAAAGAGCAGGGAGCGATAAGGATCAGGATTCGAGAACCGAACGCCGAAGTGTAATGGAAGTGTTGAAGAAGGACGCCGCTTTGGGCTCGCCCAGCAGCGTCTTTTACTTCCTGCTGCTGCCCACGCTGGTGCTGTGGTACATCTACTGGCGCCTGTCCCGGGCCCATCTCTACAGGCTGGCCGGAAGGCTGCCGGGACCCAGGGGCCTGCCCATTGTGGGTCATCTGTTTGATGTGATTGGACCGGCCTCATGTAAACACGAGTTGAAACCTAAATAGAATTATAGCTTTTAAATAATTGATCAATTTAATCATCAAGTTTAATTTTAAATCATTCAAAGTTGTTTTAAAATTTCCACATTTTATTTTTTAATGGCTTTAAACTTCTATTTTTATGAATTTATAACGTGACGAATTTTACTTAATTATTTTTACCTTATACCTTATACATATATATATCAAAATTGAGCCTTAAAATAACGTTCAATTATTTTAATATTTTAAAACCTTTTTTTTGTTTAATATTTAATTTGAATAATAATATAATAAAAATTATATTTTATTAAATTGGTTTAATGTAGGTTGATTTTATTATTATTATTATTATTATTTATTATTTTGTATTCTTAGAATATTCGGTTTCTGAGATCATGACATCCTCCTATTTTCTTTTTTTTTTTTTGCGATTTTCTTTAAATGTATTTTTTTAAAGTTATTAAAACACATTACAAAGTGAATAATGATTTTAATAAAACCTTAAAATATTTTGCCATATTTTCGCAACGATTTAAAATTGAAAGATTACATTTAAACAAAACTATTGTATATATAAAAGTACAATTTTATTTTTAAAGGCTTTACCTTTGTTTCTTTATTAAATATTTAAATAATTAACTGGTTATAGGTTCTAGATGTTTATTTATTTATTTATTTTGCTTATTTATTTATGTGTTTATTAATTCATTTATTTATTTTATTTATTTTTTTTTTTATTCATTTATTTGGTTATTTACTATTTGTTTACTTAAATATTTATATATTTAATTTTTTTTTTTATTTATTTATTTATTAATTTAATTATTTAATTAGTTTTTTATTATTTTTTGTCTGCTTACTTAAATATTTTTTTCATTTATTTTTTTTTATTTGTTTACTTTTTTTTTATTTGTTATTTATCTATTTATTTTTATTTACTTATTTATTATAATAATTTAAGTGTTTACTTTATTTTATTTTTAAATTTCCATTAATAAATAATATCCCAATCTCGGTTGCAGCCGTTTTCAAGACAGTCATCCGGAAGAGCGCTCCCTTCGAGCACATAGCCAAAATGTGGATCGGCCCCAAGCTGGTGGTCTTCATCTACGATCCCAGGGATGTGGAGCTGCTGCTTAGCAGCCACGTCTACATTGACAAGGCCTCCGAATACAAGTTCTTCAAGCCCTGGCTGGGCGACGGCCTCCTAATCAGCACAGGTGAGGTACATTCAAATGTACATATATGTATGTACAATATGTATTCAAAGCAATATCATATCATTATTAATGGGGGAGGGCTTGAGTACCACTTGCCACTAATGCAATTTGCGGAATCATAAATTAATGAAGCTGTACCGTAGCCTGACAGTTGGCAATGTTGCTATAAATAAAAAAACAGCGTCGCAGAAAAGTCACCGAACAAAAAATTGTGGGAGAGTTGGTTTTCTTAAAACGGAAAATTTTTTGGAAATTAATTTAAAATATAGAATTTATAGAATAATATATAATAATAATATATGGAGATTTTTGTGATCCCCTTTTTTTAGAAACACTTTGTTTGAGATGAATTTCTTTTTAATAATTTGATCCAATTTCAGTTTTTTTTAATGTTACTTAGCTCTTGTACCATGATTTCTTTTATCCCAAAAACATAATTATTTATTTGAATATTTTATGCTATATTTTATACCCATTTGTTGGTAGATTCTTCTTCTTATTTCTATAATAAATAATAAAAATAAATAATTTATTTTTATTTTATTTAAATTCCTTCTAAAGAATTTTTATTATTTTTTTGACAAAATTATTTAATTTTAATACAAAATTCTCCATAGTTTTTAAGGGCAATTTATCCTTTGTTTTATGCTTAATAATACTTGAAATTTCTATAGGACACCGGGTATTTAATGGTCGAAAACACGGCTTAAGCTTTCTTGACATCTTCTATATAGCTTTGAACAGATTGATTATACCCCTTTTTGAAGTGCATATAAAATGATTTGTATATAAAAGACAAGTGCCCTTTCAAGTCTATTTTTAATCTATTTTTACAGTTGCAGCTGTAAATAGTTTTGGGTTCTATTCTTTGCATTCACAATTCCATATAATATAATATATCAGAAAATTGCCATGAGCCTAGCTACACGTCTAATGCCCCACATTTTTCTCCATTGCAGGTCAGAAGTGGCGATCGCATCGCAAACTCATCGCACCCACATTCCATCTGAACGTCTTGAAGAGCTTCATCGAGCTCTTCAACGAGAACTCGAAAAATGTGGTGCGGAAGCTGCGTGCGGAGGATGGTCGCACGTTTGATTGCCATGATTACATGAGCGAGGCAACCGTGGAGATTCTATTGGGTAAGTGAGGAGCACCACGAGCATGGATTCCGATCTGGATATGTATGTATGTATGCGAGGCGATTACACAAAAGTACAGTCAACTCACACGCACTCAGCGGCGATGCCACTTACTCGATTTTTGGGTTGCGTGGATTTTGTTTCTATATGGATGCTCCAAAGCACACGACAAATGTCCAAATCACCCAAATGTCCGCAGGTCCATATGCTATATTGCTTGATATATATGCTACATGCGATACATACTACATTTGTACTGTGTACAATTGAGTGCAGACCCATTTCCCTATATACTGACAAATCAAAAATTTTGCTGCTTTTGTTGTGTGCCCCCCACAATGGGCACAAAAGAGATATCTGTTGTGTACATGGGTTGGACCTGCATATATATATATATATCAAGATACATATCTACATACATATATATGACGCCGGCCCCCGATCTAACCGAATTATGTGCCAAAACTGCTGCAAACTGGTTGCGATCATGCGATCCTATACAATTATCGATAAACTATTCTTTCATTCTCTCAAGAGATATTAAGAAATCTTATTTTAACAGACAGATAAAGTTACTTTTGGGTCCTTTAATGCTGGGAAAAATAACAGCCATTGTTTCATCTTAAAGATATTTTCCAGGGACCGTAAATAATTATTATGAGTTTAAAAAAATTGAAGCCCAAAACAGTCTCCAAAAAAATTGGAAAAAATTGTCATAAGTTAAATTTTCATGGCGAATTCAAAAACAAGATAAATGTTTTTTTTTTCAATTTTTGTATAAAAATTACGCAATAACTTTTATTTTCAATTTTTATTATATAAATTGAAAAATAAGAATTATTCGATAACTTTTATTTTAAAAATTGAAAATAAAGATTGAATCTATATATCTTTTGATCCGTAGAAGCCAGATCCAATATATATGTATATATATGATCTACACATCAATACCTTTCAGATGGTATATAATAAATATGTATATATATATATATATATATATTGGATCTGGCTTCTACGGATCAAAAGATATATAGATTCAATCTTTATTTTCAATTTTTAAAATAAAAGTTATCGAATAATTTTTATTTTTCAATTTATATAATAAAATTGAAAATAAAAGTTATTGCGTAATTTTTATATAAAAATTGTGAAATAACTTTTATTTGGTAATTTTTTGCTTTTTTAATTATAACAGTTACAGTCCCTGATATTTTCAAAAGATCTCAGTTAACGGATAGATAAAGATCTTGTCTAGTCTTTTTCTGCTAGGAAAAGTATCAGCAATTCCTTCATTTTCTCAAGACTTGATTTAATGGACATATAAAGTTCCTGTCTATTACTTTAGGGCTAGAAAAAATAACAGGGATTCTTTCATTTTCAAGATCTGTTCTCAAGATCTCATTTAACGGACAGATAAAGATCTTGTCTAGTCTTTCTCGGCTGGAAAAAATAGCAGCAATTCTTTCATATTCTTAAGACATATAAAAAGTTCCTGTCTCGTACTTTAAGGCTAGAAAAAATAACAGTAATTCCTTCATTTTCACGATGTTTTCTCAAGGTCTCAGTTAACGGACAGATAAGGTTTTGGCTAATTTAAATTACCAACAGAAGAAGAAATGAAGTCATAACAGCTGTTAAAAGTGGAGTACATTGTGCGTCCTTGCGCATTGAAGATATATGAATAATAACAAAACTACTTATCAGATAACTCAGGTCAGTTTAAGGGCAATCTTCTTGTTTTAAACCAAACCTAGGTATTTAAAATTAGACAAAAAAAAAAAGGTATTAATAAGTCTAAAAGGCGCTGAAAAGGGCTTTGTGCGTTTGTGTAAATATTTTCAATGCCCCAACCCAGTTTGTGGAAGGTAATGCCGAAACCATGTGTCATCCCATTGGGTGGTCGGGAACATCATAAAATCGCTCAAAAATTCAAATTCAAATACTCGTACACCCTATTCGCTTAAAGGCAGTCACGTTTTCGGGGCCGGGCGATTGAAAAAGTGAAACTGTCGCCAAATTGGAAGGCGGCCAATGTTAATGACATTGCAGTGGCAGTCTTTGCAATATTGCAGTTAGTTGGGCAGTTTGGGATTGATTTCTAGGCTATTGCATAATACCGATCCCAAGTGCAAGCGTCTCGTCCCGGGCCCCCAATTGAAATGCAGCCAAGATTACAGATTACAAAAAAAAAAAAAAAAAACAACAAAAAACTGAACTGGATGGGACCGCAACGAGCTGGGTTTTCGGGCTGCAATTAAAGGCACGTCGCGTTGCCATTAAGCATTTAATCAGGAAAATTTGAATGCAGCCATGCAACCTACGGCCACGGCGACGACGACGGCGGCCGCGGACTCAGGTTGTCCAGCCAAGTTATCCACAGTCCACCATCACGATCACGATGATGGGCTATGGAATGGCCTGGGCTGGGGCCGTGTGACGCAAACGGGGCAATTAGCAATTAAGACCAGAACTGAACTGAAATGAAAATGAGCGCAAAACCATTGCAAATGATGTTTTATGAAAAATAACAGGAAAACTGGACTGGCTAATTACAAGGTATTCAATTTTGAGTAAAAGGCAGGAAGAAGACGGCAAGGACGGCAGATATCCTTGTACTTTTCTTAACTTTTGTTTCTGTTTAAGGTTAATTACCAGATCTTCTTGTCGGTGAAAATATAGCGGTTTTCCAAGTTCTACGCAACAACTCCTTGTGGGGTACCCCGATGGAGTATCAAAATTCCTGGCTCGCGTTTTTCCCACAGCTCAAAAACAGACATTGTGCCGCAATCCGTATGCTCGTTTATGCTGTCATCTATAAATCTATTTATGCATTGTATCTACACTTAGACAGGAGCGGGGATCGGGGGATCTGTTGTCTGTTTGTTAAGTTCAATTGGCGCTTGGGTCAGGCGAGTGCATTCCACTTCCCCCCATTGGTGCCAGGGGTCCATCTCCGATCTGGAGTAGATTCTGATCCCGGTTTTGCACTGAGCCCAAAAAGGGGGATTCAGAAAACGCTGGATTTTTAGCTACTTAAAATTTAATTAATCATCTGCGTTGCTTTCCCTTTCCAGAGACCGCGATGGGCGTGTCGAAGAAAACGCAGGACAAGTCCGGCTTCGAGTATGCCATGGCCGTGATGCGGATGTGCGATATCCTCCATGCCCGCCATCGCAGCTTCTTTCTGCGCAACGAGTTCGTGTTCACCTTGACCCGGTACTACAAGGAGCAGGGGCGCCTGCTCAACATCATCCACGGACTGACCACCAAGGTGATACGGAGCAAGAAGGCGGCCTTTGAGCAGGGCACGCGGGGCTCGCTGGCCCAGTGTGAGCTAAAGGCGGCCGCTTTGGAGAGGGAACGTGAGGAGCAGGAGAAGGCGGTGAGTGCGCCGAGTCCCGCCAGCGAGGACAAGACCTCCAACTCCACCCCGACCACGACCACAAGCACAGGCACCATCTCAGGCACAGGCACGCCCGTGGCAGGACTTTCCTACGGCCAGTCCGCCGGACTCAAGGACGATCTGGATGTGGAGGACAACGATATTGGGGAGAAGAAGCGTCTGGCCTTTTTGGACCTAATGCTCGAGAGTGCCCAGAACGGCGCCCTCATAACGGACACGGAGATCAAGGAGCAAGTGGACACCATTATGTTCGAGGGTCATGACACCACCGCTGCCGGCTCCTCGTTCTTCCTCTCGCTGATGGGCATACACCAGGGTATCCAGGATCGAGTGCTCGCCGAGCTGGACTCTATTTTTGGGGACTCACAGCGACCGGCCACGTTTCAGGTGGGTTTTGTAAATGTTTTTTTAATTTTTTTCCTTTTTTATAAATACTCTAAAAAAAATGTGCAGGATACCCTGGAGATGAAGTACCTGGAACGGTGCCTGATGGAGACCCTGCGCATGTACCCGCCCGTCCCGTTGATCGCCCGCGAGCTGCAGGAGGACCTCAAGCTAAACTCTGGCAACTACGTGATCCCCAGGGGCGCCACGGTGACAGTGGCCACCGTCCTTCTGCACCGCAATCCCAAAGTCTACGCTAATCCCAATGTCTTTGACCCGGACAACTTTCTTCCGGAGCGGCAGGCCAACCGTCACTACTACGCCTTTGTGCCCTTCTCCGCGGGACCACGCAGCTGTGTGGGTGAGTTCCTTGATCCTTAAGTCTAGGCAACAGTATGAGGAACTATAAGGGATCTTTCCTTTGAGTTTCCAGATTTCCGCTCTCACTGTTAAAGTCTCAGATAGATCTGACCGCAAAAAGTTAAGTAACAGATAAACTTGTCGTAAAAGTAAATCGGGTGTCTAACCTCCTGTTATTTATCCGTCAGAGAATGACTAACAGATTAGACTGACCTTCTAAAATCAGATGATACTTAGTCGAGCCGAAAAAAACTTGACAGGGAGTTAGAGTCCCTGTTAATGATAGGTTATATTAAAAAGGGCTTTAACAGTAAGGGTAGAAAGCGGACAATAATGCCCAATGTTATTAAAAAAATATCTTAAAAAAGTTAAGAGCTAGCTCTTCTTCTTTAAAGAAATCAGTTCTTAACCGGCAGTTTATCTGTTCGACAAATCTTAATAATAATTGCTAATAATAATACTTATATAATTATAATTTCCCCTTAAATAGGCCGCAAATACGCGATGCTCAAGCTAAAGATCCTTCTGTCGACCATTTTGCGGAACTACCGTGTCTACTCGGACCTGAGCGAATCGGACTTTAAGCTGCAGGCGGATATTATCCTGAAGCGGGAGGAGGGTTTCCGCATCCGGCTGCAGCCGAGGACCAGATGAACTAGGACATAGTGGATCAACGGACACACAGCACACCGTACACAATAAGCAACACAGAACGGACACTTATCCATACATATATCTCTCTACTTGTTGGCAAGTGATAGTCACCGGTTTATACAGTAAATATTAATTATAATAAATAATAAACGTGCTCCAACACTCGATTTATTGAATAGTAATAATAATTATGTTTTTTCGCATTTAACACGAAAAATAACAGCAAAAATTATCATCATCTTCCTTTAATCGTTTTTTTTTTTTTTTTTTTGTTCTTTATTAATTAATAATACAATTTTGTGTAATGATTTTGACAATAAACCTATGGTGTAATTACAAAATTACAAAAACCGATCGAAGCAACTGAACAAGGTGAGTACTGATGAAAACTCGGACTAATTGCAGTCGGAGTTTGCAAACGCTGTAAAGGAAAATGCTCTAAAATGATAAATATCAATAAAAAAAAATTCAGGTGGTGTTAAATCAAAAATTTAAAAGATTTATCGCCTTGTGCGGTATCGGTATCGATATCAAAAAAAGAAACAGAAAACATCGCTAAACATAACATCGATGTTCGATGCATCGATATCAACAAAAACATCGAAAGACATAGGGAAAACATCGCTGCATCGATATTTTCACCATCACTAATACAGGGAAAGTGACACGAAGGCAACAGATTTAAAAGCCAATTGGAAAGGGAAAGCGACTGTATTTCTTCGTTCTATTGTTGTTGCGCCCAAGAAAAAGGGAGGAAACCACCGCCAGGATGTCGCACGCCATCGATGAACTGCAGGCGATCATTGCCGAGCTCAAATCGGAGCTGGATGAGCAGAAGACGAGCAGCCGCCAGGCTGCTGCCCACCGCGAACGCATCGAACGGATGTCCGCGGAGGTGGTGGACTCCAATCCCTACAGCCGCCTGATGGCACTGCAGCGGATGAACATAGTGAAGGAGTACGAGAGGATTCGTGACAAAACGGTGGCCATTGTGGGAGTGGGCGGCGTGGGCAGTGTCACCGCCGACATGCTGACGCGGTAGGGAAAGAGGAAGTCCCATGTCTTATGTTTATATTTACGATTGTGTACTTTTCGGCAGCTGCGGCATTGGCAAACTGATCCTCTTCGACTATGACAAAGTGGAGCTGGCCAACATGAATCGTCTGTTCTTCACGCCCGACCAGGCCGGCCTCTCCAAGGTGGAGGCCGCCGCCCGCACCCTGGGCTTCATCAATCCGGACGTTCGCATCGAGACGCACAACTATAACATCACAACGGTGGATAACTTTGATCGCTTCCTCGCCACGATTATGGAAAGCGGCACGGTGGCGGGCCAGCCGGTGGACTTGGTGCTCAGCTGCGTGGACAACTTTGAGGCGCGCATGGCCATCAATGCGGCGTGCAACGAGCGCAATTTGAACTGGTTCGAGTCTGGAGTTTCGGAGAATGCCGTTTCCGGTCACATACAGTTCATCCGTCCCGGAGACACCGCCTGCTTTGCGTGCGCCCCGCCCCTGGTCGTCGCCGAGAATATCGACGAGAAGACGCTGAAGCGAGAGGGAGTGTGTGCCGCCTCCCTGCCCACCACCATGGGCATTACGGCCGGCTTCCTCGTCCAGAATGCCCTCAAATACCTGCTCAACTTCGGCGAGGTCTCCGACTATCTGGGCTACAATGCCCTCAACGATTTCTTTCCCAAGATGACGCTCAAGCCGAATCCGCAGTGCGACGATCGCAATTGTTTGCTTAGGCAAAAGGAGTTCCAGGCGCGACCCAAGCCCGTTCAGGTCAAGGAGGAGGTGGTCAGCGATGAGCCTCTGCATGCCACCAACGAGTGGGGTATCGAGCTGGTGGCAGAGGATGCGCCACCCAGCAGTAATCCCGAGCCAGCAGCCCCAGCCATGGAAGTGGGTCAGGGCCTAAAGCTCGCCTACGAAGCCCCCGAAAAGTCCAGCGACGATGCGGCGGCTGCAACCGTGACGGCGGCAGATGAAACCAGCCTGGAGGATCTGATGGCTCAGATGAAGTCGATGTGAATGAAATTCCACTATATATTTATAGACTCCTAAATGCCCGATGTTTTGTAATTGATATTTTTGTAAAACATTTATATTTTTTTGTGATTAAATTAAAGCTTAAAAAAATAAATAAGATTAAATATTTGTATAATTATTTTTATTTTTCTATTATTTATTTATTAATACTAAGATCGTATAAAATTATAAAATAATTTATTTAAATTTAAAATACCTTCAAATTTCATCCAGTGTTGGTAAATACCTTCTTTGCCAGGTCTGGCAATCTTTTAGATGGTTATTCGGAATTTTTAGGCTGAGCAGCTGCGGTCACACTGGTTGTCGCGTTGTCACAAAAGAAAAAGGGAAGAAACTCGAGAAAAATTAGAGTTTTCCTTGGCTTAAGAAGAACCCCTCTGGAACGCCGAGTCCCAGACAGCCAAACCCCCAAAAGAGCACACTGAATATGTCCAAGAAGGAGGAAAAGTCGCAGCCCGCCGAGGAGGTAAGCACTGTTTTTCTGGCCGAAAGAGACGGACTCTTTTTTGCCGGCTTGGAAATGGTGGCTCAAGAGAGACCACGTCACTGCAGATAAATAATGTTTGATTTTTTGCCACCCATCAACAGCTGGTGAAGGTGAACAAGTGGGATGGCTCCGCCGTGAAGCATGCCCTCGATGATGCGGTCAAGACCTGCCTGCTGGGCGACCGGCCGCAGCTGAAGGAGCAATTTGGCTTGGTCAACACCCGTTTGGCCCTCTGCGCCTTGGCGGTGGGCGTGGCTATCATGGCCCATGCCTGGGACTTTACCCACCCATTCCCGGAATCACGACCCGTCCTCCTGTTCAGCGTCCTGGCCTATTTCGCCCTCATGGGTGTGCTGACGCTTCATTCCAGCTTCCGCGAGAAGGGCACCTTCGCCGTGGCGGTGCAAAAGGATAAGGAGCGCGAGCGCCTCTGGGAGGCCAGCTCCGACATGCGCAAGTACGACGACAAGTATCTGCTCACCCTGAGCGTCCGCGACTCGCGCAACGGCAGCAAGCGACGCGAGCAGACCAGCAGCAAATCTTGTGCCGCCTTCATTGACCAGAATGGCATCGTGCTGGACAGCCAGGTGGCCAATGAGGTGAACCGTTTGTACAATTCTTTGGCCGCCGAAAAGAAGGACAAGTAGCTGGTGCTAACGGCGGAGGATGTCTGAACGGCGAGCCCCATTTCATTCTCTAATTTTTTTTTCTCCTTGAATAAAACCAAAATTCTACTTTAAATTCTCAACGGAGTTGTTGTGGCTGGATATGTGGCTGCCCCGCCTGGAGATGTTTATCAAAAATGTAAACCAGAAAGCCTTAGGATCAGAGCGGCTTGGAGAAGTTGAGCACTGGAGAAAAGCGAAAGCAGCAGCAGCAGATACGCTGAAAAAGAATAGCTGAGGAAAGGAGCTTCCGCAGCGATGCAGTAGTGGCTTCCTGGGGTTTTTTTTAGTAGCTTCCCAGAGATTGGATTAGCATTAGAATGCGGGAGATAGTTACCCTGCAGATTGGCGGCGCGGGCAATGCCATTGGCGATGCTGTAAGTAAGGAAATACCCGAGTTTTTTTTTCAAGGACCAGAGCTCCTTTACTTTATTCCCTCTGTCCTTAATATAATCACAAACCACATCCTTTGATCTGTCCAGTTCTGGCACGTGATCTCCCACGAGCACGGCGTGGACTATGCCTCGGGGAGGTTCGGCGGCACCAGTCCCCTTCAACTGGAGCGCATCAATGTGTTTTTTAATGCCACCGCCAGCAAAAGATTTTATGCCCGCACCATCATTATAGACACGGAGGCCAGCACCATCCAGCGCTTGAATGCAAGCAGCCAGCTGTACAGACCGGAGAACTTTGTGGCCGGATCGGAGAGTGCGGGTAATAACTTTGCTCGCGGGTATCATACGGATGGAGCCGAAATCCTTGAGCAGGTGCTGGACAATACGAGACGCGAGGTGGAGTCCGTTGACTCCCTGCAGGGCTTCCAGCTGCTCCACTCAATTGGCGGTGGCACGGGCTCGGGATTGACCTCCCTGATAATGGAGGCCCTTGTGCAGCAATATCCCGACAATTTGCTGTGCAACTACGTCACGATACCATCGCCCAACATGTCCCAGGTGGTGGTGGAGCCGTACAACGCCCTGCTGAGCACACCGGCCTTGGTGAATAACTCGCATCTGACCTTTTGCCTGGACAACGAGGCCCTGTTCCAGATCTGCAACCGAAACCTGCAGATCAAGACGTCCGGCCATGAGCATATTAACCATATTGTGGCTTTGACCATGTCGGGAATAACGACTTGCCTGCGCTTTCCGGGCCAGCTGAATGCTGGCCTGCGCAAGATCTATGTGAACATGGTGCCGTTCCCCCGTCTGCACTTCCTTATACCGGGATTCGCGCCGCTGGTCACCTGCAAGCAGCAGCAGTTTAGCAAGGGCACCGTCTCGGAGCTAGTGCAGCAGATCTTCTCCAGCAATAACCTGCTGTGCGCCATCGATCTGCGGCGGGGCAAGCTCCTGACGGCGGCCGGTATCTTTCGGGGCAGGATGTCGCCGCGCGAGGTTGACCAGCTAATGACCGGTGTGCGGAACAAGAACATAAGCAATTTTGTGGACTGGATACCGAATAACATCAAGACGGCCATTTGCGATATACCGCCGCGGGGCTTGAAGATGTCAGCCACTTTCATTGGCAATACCACGGCGATACAGTCGCTCTTCCAGCGGCTCCTGGACGCCTCCATTGCCATGTTGCGGCGAAAGGCTCACCTGCACTGGTACACCGGCGAGGGCATGGAGGAGCAGGAATTTATGGACGCCCAGCAGGAGCTGCAGGCCATCATCGACGACTATCGGTGCAGTGCCGAGGGCGATGAATGCAGCGGAGCAGCCGGCGGCAGCGGTGCGGATAGGGAGGATGACAACAGCAGCGATGTGGCCGCTGAAGGTCCCCGATGCACCTACTGCCCCCAGTAGCAGCCCCATCTCCATATTAACCCTTAGCATAGACCCATAGGACTTCAGGAGCTCAAGTTATCGCTTTCTGCTTTCGGAATAGGAGGACCTAGGGAGAAACCTAAGCCGTTTCCTAAATTTCAAGTGGTCTCCATTGTTGTCTCGCGTTTTGGATTCGCATTCATTATAGTTTTGCCAACCAAGAAAAGCAAATTCACAAATTGTTTAAAATATATTTTGAGTATAGGATATTTTTTTTAATAAAGAAAAAACGAAATATTTTAGCCTTTTTATAGATTTTTTAAACATGTTCTCTGGACAAAAAGGATTCAATTTTGGAGTTATTTAATTATTATACTTATTTTGAAGAGTCCTTAAATACTTAAGAAAGTTTAATATTTCATTTAATTGGTATTATTATTATTATAACGTGTTAACGTATCAAGTTCTTTATCGTTCGGATAAAATATAGGAGGGGTCTACAACCAATTTTTTTTTCATATTATTACGTCTTTTTATATATTTTTTTAAAGTTATATAATTCAGTCAGTTAGATATCATAAATATATTAATAATATAGTAATCACCTTTCAATAAATTTAATATTTAACTGGAGGATAAGACCTTTTTGCAAGAAAAGTATTCTAGCTAAACAAATGTAAGAGTTAAATACCCAAAAATTAACGTTTGTTTTTCGTCGTTCAACTTCAAGTGGTCACAATCTTTTCGAGATACTTGCGCCCGATTGCTCGGCATCCCATTTTTCTATTTTCAGAATGAACGGGGACCGGCGAGCAGGCATTTTTTCCGTAGGTCAAAAGCCGGATCTGCTAAACTTGAACTGCTGCCAAGAGGAGTTTTTCAGCAAAAGTGCAGGAGCTGGGCGAAAGAATAATTATACATAGAGAGATTCGGAGACGACGGCATTATTAATAGACGGATGCTAAAGGTTTTTGCACTTGGTTTATTTCTGTTGCTCCGCATTCCTGAGATGCCGTCGTCGTAGTGACAAAAATATAGCCACAAAATCCACACGCACATGTGCAAACATAATGCATATCCCCCATCCCATCGACACATAGAAAAATTCTTAATAAAATACAAATTAATAGTCGGAAAATGCAATTAAACAGAAATGAGCTTCTATTTCCTTTCTTGTCTTTAGTGCAATATCAACTGAAAATATAAAGTAGCCCCATTTTTGGCCAGTGCATGCAAGTGGAGCACTCACACCTACATAACCATGAGAAAGCGGCGGAACAGCATAGAAGGTAGGGTAGGGGTAGGGGGCTTGAAAAGCCAGGGAACTGCAAGCATAAATTTAAATATAAATTAAGAATTCAATAGACACTCGAGATGCCAACTATTTGTGGGCTGGGCCACGCCCACTGCACCTCTAAAAGGAAAAGTACAGACTCGAGCAACGGAAGAACAAATCGCACAGCGCTGAGCAATTTTTGAATCTGGCGGTCAGTGGGACCATGTGCCAGAAATAGGAAAAAGATGAACAATCGATTACCGTGATTATTTATGATTTCGTAGTTTCCAATCTTGAAACATTTTCGATTTTTATTTAAATATATATTATACTTGTGTAATAGGTATACAAAACTTGTTGTTTAAATGATTTATTTAATTTTTGCAGAAAATATCATGAATTTTTTGCCTATCGATGTTTTATAGTGCCCAACTGTCACCACCAGCCAATAGATATAATAGCTATTTTTGATTAAATGCAAGTGTTTTGCCACTAACGGAACTGATAAATCCATAAAATCGCTGCAGTTGTATTAAATTCGTTATTATATGCTCCCGATTTACATACTTTACCCCAAAATAATTCTGAATTTTCCCAGTGCTTTTATTGCGCATTTTCGGTTAAAAGCTATCGATGATTTTCAAAAGTTATCGATATGGCAATCGTTGGCTTACCAGCTCTACGGCCGAGTTCGGTCACACTGCGCGCCCCACATCGAATCGGACGCTGTTTCGCGTTTCGCTGCCATCCGCTCCACCAAAAGCCAACGAACGGTTCGTGCGCGAGTCTTTTGTACCTTGCCTTTGCCTTTGGCCCCCTTTGACTTCACTGGGACGAGTGCTGTGTGCCGTGCATACCACAAAGTTTTTCGCATTGGGCCTCGCTGCGCTCAGGTCCTGCCCGCTGCTTCTTACCTTTTTGGAGTTTGTTTTCGGAAAAAGAACGGTACAGCAGGAATAACAAAAACAAAAAGCATCACAGCAAAAGCATCACATACATACACACGCGGGAATTTTTTTATTTTCGACCATGTGTATATGTGTGTGTGTATTGTAGTTGCATAGTTTTGTTTTTTTGTGCTGGAATTTTGAGAGGGAGCCAGTGAGAGGAAGAGGGAGAGAGCGCGCGCGCAACGTCGTTTTTCGAATGAATTGAATAAATCTCGTGTGTTTACCTCTCCAACCAACCTTTCTATTTTTGTTATTGTGCAGTTGAGAATATCAAGCAAAAGGAGCTGAAAATATAACCAGCCAACGAAATTGCATTAAGTAAATTTGAAAACTAAGGAAAGATCTCCGAAAGATCTGCGCTGCTGCAGCTGCTGCCCACACTCACACTAGCACACACCAAACACACACACATCTACACACAAAATGTTCATCGAAAAGGGAATTTTTCCCATTGGGGACGGACTTTTGGACGTGGACGCCGATCGATTGAAGGGATTACTCGTATCGCATGATATAAACGAGATCTACGAGGTGGAGCAGACGCCGTTTGCCAGGTGAGTTTCTTCTACTTCCACCTTGTTCTGCAGTTGCTGCAGTCTCTTCTGTTTTGCCAAAAAAAAAGAAGGAAAAAAAAACAAGTTTATCGCATCTTCCAAAGCAGCTGCCAAAAAAAAAAGCGAAAACCGAAACAAAAGCTTCGAAATGTTAAAGAAAGTCAGTCAGCAGCCGAGTTGGTTTTTATTTTTCTGAAAAACTTCTGCGTCTCAAAACTTGTTTTATTTGCCTTTTTTCTTCTTTCTCATGTCGCCTGTCAAGTGTGTGTGTGTGTGAGCTTCTACTCAACACATACACCAACACGAGCCGCGCGGCTGCAGACGGAGAGAAAAGAGAGTTTTTGTGCGGACAAGGCACAGTGGGTTTAAAAACGTTGTCACAATTAAATAAAAATAAAACTAAACAAAACATGAATAATCTTAAAATTTGGTTGTTTCAAAGCACTTTTTGCCCATAAACTCCTGTTTCTCAGAATGGAATTTAAATTTAAACTTGTTCTGCAGAGCTTGCTTACGTATATCGTATACATTATATACATTGTGATCCTTAGCCAAATTTACTTGCACAATTCGATATTGGATTACTAACTTAAATTACTTCCGTGTAGCGGTCTCTGTGTGTGTACCTACAAAAAGATTTTGTTTTGTTCTTTAAAGCATTTACATACCTGATATTCCACGGTTCTTTCGCTAAGTTTTCTTCGGCGAGGTTCTAATTTGTGCATCCACTGTGCCTCTTCCTGTTTTCCTCTCTTCCTTCCTTCGCTGCCTGCCTGCCTCACTCTCCCTATCGTTTTTGCCCTTTACCCACTCTTCTTTTGCCCAAAGAGCAGCTGTTACCGCTGGCTGATAAACTGACCTTCTGTGCGCTGTCTCCTTCTAACCCGCTCTCTCGCCTGTCTATATTTCGCCGTAATTTCCTTTTGCATTCGCTCTCCTTCCACCGTTTACTCTCAGTCGTTAGTTCTCTCATTCTTTCCTCCTTCAATGCCGTTTGGCTACCTTTATTTTCAGATAGATTTGCAATTTCTGCCCGGATTTCATTATAATTTGTTTTTGCATTTCTATCTCATTTGTTTTCTTCAGATTTTCTTCTTTATCCCTCCATTCTTAATTTTTTAGACTCCACAAAGCTCAATTTAACGTCCCTCGCGAAGGTCGTTTGTGTTGGATCCTACTGTTTCTTTATACTCACCTACCCAAGACCCTATCTATCATTATTCCCCGTTCTTTGTCACCTCCACCTTATGATAAGTTATCAACGAAAAGTAAACAACAAAATTAATACCTAAAATAAAAAAAACCAATCGACTTTTGAGTTTCGTAAGCAACCGCACGAAATTCAGTTTTTGTCAACGGTACTGATAGTGTGTCTCTCGGGATCGTTGTTCTTATCGTGGAACGGTTTCTCCTGACCGATGGAAAATCAATATATAATATTGGGTAACAATAAAATCAATGATAGAGCGAGCACGCTTTATGATATCCTCTTGTAGTCATTACTAACTAAAACTACATATTTTCATTAATATTTGATATATCATAATAAAGGAATATATAAATAAATTCCAGTCCTTTAAATATCCCTTATTTAGCAGAAAAGGTTGCGCCTCAGGCGGGTTATTTTACTTGGGTTATTTTTTATATTTTCTCATGATTCTCTGGTTCCGCATTCGCACGAGAGCTACTTGTTGCTGCGTTTGCTTTCGTCTCACGTTATTCTCGTCTCTGGTTCTTTTCTTTTTTAATACTTTCTTTATTATTTTTATTTTTTTAGGCTCGTTTTCTTTGTTAACCGATAATTTTTTATCTTTTTCATCGCGAAATGCTGGAACTCTTAAATTTATGCGGTTTAATCAGTTGCAAAAAGATAACGCCGGATAAGGGGAAGCACAGACGAGTCAATAGGGATTAAAGGATATCCCATCCTATCCTCACACAGGCATTTGTTTAAGTAAATAGAAAATTGCACACGCTAAGTGGATTTTAAAAATATTTAAGCACAATCACACCATTCAAGTTTGCCCCTAAAAAGTTTAACCCATAATGGGAAACCGAAAAAGGGGGCCGTGGTCAATCAATCAATCAAGGGAGGAGAGGAATGCGAAAATGTTAGGCAATTGGTCAGGAAATATAATATTTTTTTTTATAGCGTCTGAGCCGTGCATAATTGAGCTTGGATGGATCCAATCCATGGTTTGTGGAAAAATAAAAGAAAAAAAAATATAGTTTTTGCTGTTGTTGTTGGAGTACTATGGCCCAATTTTTATGGAGAAACAGAAATACAAATTGACAGCAAGACAAATGAAGTTGTGGACACCGAAGTTGGAGATTTGTTGTTGGTAGCTTCCACAAGACTTCACAAAGCCCACTTGACTTCAACATTGGCATATTGTCCAGTTTTCGGAGTTGGCCTTTCAATAGGAAATTAGGACGCATTTTGTGGGTAGCAGCAGCAGCAGCAGCAAAGCCGAAACGCTTGCATAATGGAAACTTGATTCGGTTTTTTGGGCAGAATAAAGAGATATGTATGTACAAAGTATATTTTCAGTATATGCGAATACGTGCGAATCAATAATAAATAACACTAATTACCTTTGGATTCAAATCCCCTCGCACACGAGGAAAGTAACACCTTGAGAGGTTTCATTTGTGTGAGATTATTTTTGTATATACAGATGGATATTTTTTAAATGAGTTATAAGTTGTTTATTTTACAATATCATATATTAAGAACGTAGGGCAAGACTAGAGTGATTGATGTAAAAAAAAAAAAAGTTTAAACCTATTTTATTATTGTCTACACTCTTTATTGTATAATAATTTAGATGAATATGCGTTATACATTTTTTTATTAAAAGGGTTGAGATATACTAATGAGAAACACCTGTATGTCTTTAGCTGTTCCTGCCTTAGGCTTTCGGTTAATGATTTATGTGGATTAAATAAAGCTAGATTTTTATTTTTAGTTTTATTTTTTTGTTTATAGAAGTTTGAAATAATATACATTTTTTAAGACTAGAATTTTTAAGTATTTGTTATACAATTACACATACATACACTTCCATAAAAGATTACTTATATATTTATCTTCCACCTACATACGATACGAATTTTATGCATAGTCGGCTACCACAATTTCAATTTTGACCTAACATAACCTCAATGAGTGTGACTGACGTCACGGGTAAGCAACCCCAAAAGGTAGACAGAATCCCTGGCAAAGACCAGGGATGTGTGGCAGTGGGAAAGGCCACCCAAAGACGCCCACACAGAAAAATCTATACATACATACATACAAAAAACAGATGATAAGAGTCGACTTTGGGTTCGTTTGGAATTTGGTTTCTGTTTCAGTTGCTGTTGTCTGTCTTTATTTTGACTTCAGTTTGTGCGTGGGCAAGGACGACCAGAGTCCTTGGAAAACGGAATATAAAGGGATATGATACAACAACCACCCCATTAAGACGGGACCAATATAATTTATTTTTTCTGGGCTTTTGTTAAAGTCAAAGTTCAGGCGTCGCCCTGGGGAAGTGTATGTATGTGTGCATATTGGTGACATATTGGGAGTAGGGGTTGCTGCCAAGGATGTGGGCTTATCATACATCTTGCACCCTCTCTTCTGTTTGCTATGAAGGACCCTAGCGACAAAAGTCGACGGGACTTGAGATATTTCTTTTGTTTTTACAGGCGACATTGATTTTGTCACCATGTGTGGGCGAAATTATCTAAGAAAACAGATATATAATTAGTATAGGGGTTGTTTTTGTATGATTTTTAAATAGGGAAACATTTTATTTAAAAATTAATGTGGCTTATATATTTTTTCGATTTGAAAGCTTGTTGTTATAAATATATAATATAGTGTGATTAATTATTTGTTTATTCAATAAAAAATCAGCAACAACTGATGAATTTTCACCCATTATCTTCTGCTGTGTGGCTTATGTTAATGCATTTGTTTATTTGATGAAGCAAAAACGCAATAAAATGAATCTTTAACTGCCACCACCAAATTTTTAACCCACTGAAGGCGTTGCCCCTTCTCTGGCTTTCTCAGCTTGCCTGTTTGTTTGCAAATTAATTTTTCAAATATAAATTTTGGCTAATTAAGCAGAAACCCAGTGGATACACCCACGAGACGCTGCCAATAATTTATTGCCTCATATTGATACAGTTTTGATTATCTCTTTTATGGGCTGGAAATAAAGAAGCACCCCGAACTGTCGATGATGAGTTCATTTTAATTGAATATTTCAATATGTGCTGACTGTGTTTTGAGTGCTTTAAGCCAGCGAAGTGTCATGACATGTCAGAGGGGAATCGGTTGTTATGGTTGAATTACCGGGAATGTGACCTTGGCAAGTCTATATTTGGAAGTGATGTAAATTCCTTCCGTTCGATGGAAAATGTCAGCGGGACATGAAATGCTAATGGTGGTCGAAAGAAAACTAAATAGTTTTTTGAAAGAAAAGACAAAATATTCTCAATTCCCAATTATACATTTTCTAATTAAATTGTCCATATATTTTTATACCCTTGCAGGGTATTATAATTTCAGTCAGAAGTTTGCAACGCAGTGAAGGAGACGTTTCCGACCCTATAAAGTATATATATTCTTGATCAGCATCAACAGCCGAGTCGATCTAGCCATGTCCGTCTGTCCGTCTGTCCGTCTGTCCGTCTGTCCGTCTGTCTGTCTGTCCGTCTGTCCGTCTGTCTGTCTGTCTGTTTCTACGCAAACTAGTCCCTCAGTTTTAAAGCTATCTGAATGAAACTTTGCATATAGTCTTCTATATGCTCTCACTGCTATATATGTCGGAACGGGCCGGATCGGACGACTATATCATATAGCTGCCATACAAATGTTCGATAAATTTTTAGAAAAAAATTATAACTTGGCTGTTTTTCAATATTTTTGCATCATTTTTGAGATATAGCCATTTTATAATATTCCAGAATTTTGGTAAAAATTTTATGAAAATCGGACGACTATA